ATATCCATTGATCATTGGCAAATACCCTCATAACAGGTCATATGGTCAACGAGTCGCCGGTTCATCTATTGGCTGCTTTTTGGCGCTGCACTTTGGTTGGGGCGAGTAACATAGTATATAGCAGCAGGATAATCGTATCAACAAGAGTACAGATTAGTACAAAGATTTATGACTTTAAACAAACATAACATAAAATTATATTTCATGATTAATCCAACAATACATACAGTCGTATTTAGGGTCCTCTTGGTTTGCGACTAGAATTTGCCATACAAAAGATTTGGTAGCCACAAGTCGGACAAAAAATTGTCATAGATTTGGCAAGCCAAATGTGAGAGTTCAGCAAGTTTTGATAGCAAACCAAATACTAGCCAAAATCATGGCTTGCCAAATCTTTGACTTGATAAATTTTGGAAGTGAACCCAATCAGGGCCTTAATATGGCTTAACTTCGCATTGTGCTAAATCTGTATTCTTTCTAGCATGAAGGGAATACATGTTATTGGTTGGATCAAAACGTAAATTGTTGTTCTTAGGCTATGTTTGATTGTGCTGCCAAAAAGCAGGATGCTAAGCGGGTGGAATCTAAATTTACTTTTTCAGAAGCCACTGCTTTCATGCAGTACAATTTTTGTGGCACTTTGAACCTTACTTTTGGCTTGCTTCTCCAAATAAGTGAAAATAGAGAGATGTTTTATAGTTGTTTCAAGGGAGATATACAGAGAAGGTCTATTTGATAGTTGTTTCGACCAAACACTTTTCAACTTATCATACCTCACAATAGCTTTTTTTTACAGCTCATGACCCACAACAGATTTCCACAATTCACAGCTGAACCAAACATAACCAAATATAATTAGTCATGTTTTTTTTAATTTTTCTTCTACGTTTCATATCTAAGTTGGTAATTATGATTTGCTAGTTTGCCTAAAAGGTTGCAAGCTCAGGTGAAATTAAGTATTATCCTTATTGTTCTTGCTTGTAAAACAACGGGTCGCCATATTGAAGAATTACCCCTTTGCTAATTGGCATGAGAACGGGTTACTTCTACGTAAATGGAGCAATCTAGTCATCGGTTATGTCTGTGTTGATTTTCGAGGTCAACGTCAAGAAACTAACACTACAGGAACTGCTGGCTTCCCCGAGTGCCAGCTGCACTCGGGGAAGGCCCAGTTGCACTCGGGGAAGCCTTCCCCGAGTGCAACACTCGGGGAAGAGCCTCCGGCTAATCCTCTCACGGGAAAGGCGCCTTCCTCGAGTGCCGAAAATCGTGCACTCGGGGAAGGCTTTGCCGAGTGCCGTGCTGGCACTCAGGGAAGATTTCACGCCGTTGGCCGACGGCCGACGCCGTTTTCTTTTTCTTTTTTTTTATTTTCTTCCCCGAGTGCAACACTCGGGGAAGATTTTTGATTTTTTTTAAATACTCTTTGCCGAGTGCCGTAGCTCAGACACTCGGCAAAGAAATTTTGTTTTTTTTTTAAAAACATCTTCCCCGAGTGCCTGGGCTGTGGCACTCGGCAAAGAAATTTGTTTTTTTTTTAAAAAACCTCGTCCCCGAGTGCCGCAGCCCAGGCACTCGGGGAAGCCTGTTTTCTTATTTTTTTTAAAAAAAGATGTCTATTATGGCATATTATTGATTGTAGTAACAGTACATGCTCTGCAGGTCACACCAATGGGTATTATTGCACTGAAGTGCTATAATTCCAAAATGAACACAATATACAATACAAAATCGTTTCTTAGTACAGCCACAATTTTTGGATCTAAGATAACTTGAAAAAGATTACAATAGCAGAAGAGCAAGGTACCCAAACTATAAAATTACTCAATGGGCCAATTATGATAAATTCACAATATGCATTGCATAACATGTTCACGTTGCCAGACTTAGGAAATTTAGTGCAATTTTGAAAGAAAATGGTCACAGGTACATATACAAATCATTGTAAATGGTCACTAGTACATACATCTATGTAGCCCTATGTGCAGCAGGTACCAAGAGATAGCATAAAGGATTTTCCTAATACATGAAAATTCAGAAATATAAAAGAAAAATACAATTGTCTCCAAGCAGGCCAAGTGCTTAATTTTCTAAAGCATTAGTTTGGCCTCAGATCTTCTTCACTGAGTGAAGCCACGCCAATACTCAACCATGTCCAGTTCCCAACTAGCAAGCCAGAACTTGATGTTCTTTCCTTTTTTAAAAAATACTACTTTACAAGTTAGAGCAGCCCACACTGTATGTGTGACAGCAGTTACATGTTCATATACAAAAACTTGTTCCAATGCATAGTAATTTATTTAATCCAAACAAGTCCTATTGCTCTGGAAAAACCACGTAAAAAACTGATTAACTTCTTGAGATCATACTACACTTCATGTTAGTTAACTGACATTCCATGTTATCTGAATGATGCTATATGTGAAACAAGCATACACATATAATTTATACTATGTTAACTGTATCTATCACATGTCAAAATGGGTCTAACATTTTGCAGGACAAGCTTTGCATAAAGTGGGAAAACTTCACAGGCAAAAGATAAAGGCAAGCTGTAAAAGAAGATAAATAGATTGCAGTACATACTCCAGAAAGTTAGAATTAAAATTAACCTGTCATTTTTATTGAAACCAAATCGATCAACACTGCACTGGCTCTCTACTACCTTGTGTACAATGATACTTCAAAGTGGGGGTTCAGAGGACCAGAAGAAGTGGAATCTTGAAGAGATAGGTACACGCCTTCTGTTTGTGTGCAAGAGAAACATACCTATTGAAGTGGCACGGAAGAAGGCTGGAGCCACACAGGCACCTAGGATGTGTAAACAAATGTCAATCAATCTGAAATCAATAGGGGAAATGGTTGTTGAAACATTAAGTTTGGACCTACCTACTGTTAGAAAAATACTTGTTTAAAAAACACTCAAATTATAGCATGGAAAAGTCACAGTTTTGCAGATAAATGTACAGCATGATGACCGTTAGCCGTGTCAATTTATGGCATGGTGAATGTACCTGTCATCCATGGTAGATGAGCCAATTCATGTTCTTTGCATCACAGTAACATCTCCAAGTCAAAGCTCATAAAAACCTGTGTACTGAAGCGTAAGTAAGTATATATTGCAATAAAGAGCGCTAACAAATTTACCTAACCAACCAATATCTTAAATCTCAAATAACAAGCATCCATCAGACACAATCATAGGAGGGTACAATTAAGGATTTAGCTGCTGCAAAGAGCAAAAACAAATTTTGAATGCATTTACCATACTATATATGCCATCTCACTCAAGAACAACAATTATTGATGCCTTTACCATACTATTTATGTCATACATATCACTTGAAGAACAACAGTTACTTTGGCAAAGAAGGAAACACTTGTTATCAGAAAAGTCAATAAGCTATGATGCCTTATTCATTATCATAATCAAGCATTGTATATTTGAAAAGGACAAATGAATGTTGTAACCCGATCAATCTGAATAATAATAGTAGAATTTAACCGCACGTGAACACGCATATGGGTTACTCAATTTTCTGAGTGGTACTGATTATTGCAGGAATCTCATCATCAATGCGAGGTACAATCAAATAAACAATTATCTCGAATAAAACCTCACTAGCAATGCTGTTTTTTTTTGCTTTGAATCGATGGACCGTTTACGAGATCTCTGCTAATGCAAGAATGACAACATTGGGCAAGATGCTGCAAGTAGAAGAGAGAGGAGGCGCACACCTAGCACTGCGACGGACCGACGGACGGCGGTGTGGCTGATGGAGGCACACGGAGGACAACGCCGCATGGGGCTGCCGGAGGCGAATCGGGGCGGACGGCGTCGGGGCTCGCCGAGTCGGTCGGGCGGACGGCTCGGGGGCGTGGCTCGCCATGACAGATCGGGCTGGAGCTGGGGCGGCGGTTGGAGGCGCACGGCGTCGGGGCTAGGGCTCCGCCGGGCCGGGGGAGCCGTCCAGAGAGCACGACCTACACGGCGCACGCGGCCAGGGAGCTCGACCTGCACGCCGTGACTGCCAGGCCACCCTAGCAGGCCTTCATCGCCTCTTCCGTCACGCGCTCATCGCGTCGTCGTGGTTGCTATGGGAGGCGTGGCGCGAGGTGGGGAGGAGCTGCAGCAGAGGAGGGAGGCGCGTGGGCGGGCGTCTGCAGCGGCGCTCGGCGGGGGGATCTGGGCAGCGGGGGGTCGGGGATCAGGTCGAGGCCTGGCGGCAGGGCGGGGCGTGGGCGGGAGGTCAAGGGCGGGCGCAGGGGCAGGGGCATGCTGCGGGGGGCCACCGGCGGCGGGTCGGGTGGCGGCGGCGAGCCTCCTGGCGGCGCGGGTGCAGGCGCGGGGAGGCAGCAGGGGCGCGTGTGGTGTGGGGCGCGGGTGGGGGTGGTGGCCGGTTAGGTTTAGGATAAGGCCACGGCGGGCCGGCTGGTGGGCTTTTTTTTTTAGTCTTCCCCGAGTGCCCGCACTCGGCAAAGGGCCCCTTCCCCAAGTGCTTTCCCTGGCCCTCGGGGAAGAAATTTTTATTTTTTGTTTTTTTTGACTCATTTTTTTTGTGAGGCCTTCCCACATTATTTAAAACTCCTTGTTCAAATTTGGGATAATTTTGAGTTTTTTTTGGTATATTTCGTTAATTTTTTTCGTTTCGTTGAATTTTTTTGCATACTTCAAATTTGAACTGCAGGTGCTTTCCCTGGCACTCGGGGAAGCCGGTGACACTCGGGGAATTTTGCCTCTCCCATAGTGTAAACACAAGATTTAATGCAATGTACTACACTCATGCAAGTACAGATTTCGGTTTCACACACATTGCATTTCAAACTTCACCGCACATATGGTTGTAAAGTTCACATTGAGTTCACTAGTTGCTGTGAAAAGCCAATCAAACATCGCATCACCGATAAACATCGAAGCTACGGAGTGCTAATACTAGTTTCAGTCCACTGTCCGTACATGATCGAAGACGATAGGAGACAAGCAGGCAAAGCAAGAGGTTTCAGTTGTCGCGGTCGCAGCAGAAGAGCACCCGGATGACGCGCGCCCGGTGGTCCGGGTGGAGGCTGATGACGAGCCAGATCAAGGCGAGGACGGCCACCCAGATGATGATGTCCAGCGACAGGTGCGTCCTGGACTGCGACACGATGAAGGTGAGCACGAGGCTGGAGTAGGCCACCGCGAAGGACCACAGCACGTGGCGCGAGCCCACGGGCATCCGCACCAGCAGGCTCAGCGTCATCACCATGGAGCTCGCCACCCCGACCCAGCTCGCGCCCCTGAACACCCAGTACCTCGGCCGGTGCAGATCGCGCATGATGGGGTCGCCGGCGCGGTACCGGGGCACCACGCTGCCGGCGTCGCTCACGACCGTCTGGTCGGTCTGCCAGTAGCCGCCGGGCATGCTGAGGCCGAGCAGGAAGTTGAGCGCCGTGATCAGCGTCGCCACCACGATCAGCGTGTTGGGGTCGTTGTTGCCCGCCCAGCCGTCCCTGCTGTCCGGCGCCGCCCCGCCGAGCTGCTGCTGCCGCCGCACTGGCAGGCCCGTGGCGACGAGGCCAGCCTCCATGTTGCTGCCCGGGGTCGGCGGTGCGCTTGGGTACATGGTCGGGTACTGCTGCTGATCCATGGGCTATCGATGGATCGATGGAGGAGCTAACGGCAAATTTGTTGGATGATCTGAAACTAGCTAGGGGATGCGTGCAGTTGAGTGCTGTGGCTATCGATCCTTGTGGTGTCTCGTTGTTGGTTTTCGATGGAGTGATGAAGAGAGCAAATGATCCATGGCACGTATATATACACGACTCCTCTATCCCAGTTCCAGGTCAAGTTGTCCAAGTCAATATTTTTGTCCCCTGCCTCGTAGCCGCTTTTGCCACTTGCGTATCATATTCCTCTGCACTCAATTGCACGGCACGATCTAGAGTAGTATGGAACACGGTGTGTCGAAATGTTCAACTACTACGCGCCTCAGACAATGCCCATGACAATTGTTGGCGAGTATCTGAAGAAAATGTAGTAAATGTTACAGATGCGTGAGAATTCAACGTTCACCATTTCGCGATATTAAAAAGTAATTGTACTGCTGTTACAAATTAAAACAGCCCACCCCGTTACCATAGGCAAAATAATAATAATAATAATAATAATAATAAGTTTTTACTTAAAAAATAAGCAAAGAAAAAATTCATTACGGTACGGAAGTCGGAACAAGATTAATATAGTTCTTTTAAATGCAAGCAAGCTTACGTCGAAACGAGGCACATAGACAGAGCACAGATTAGATGATGACCGTACCGCTGCTGAGCGTTGAGGAATTGAGATCTTTTTTCTAGAATTGAGATTGAACAGCTCTACTCGCAAGGTTTGTGTCGCCTTAGCAACGCGATAAAAATAATCTTGATTAGCTCTAAAGGAACGATGCATAGCCAATGTAATCATGGACTGTTTGGTACGTGTGCGATTGACCAAAGGGTGGACTCGGCTGTCCCAGTCCCACACCCTGTGCAGTTTACTATGACTCAAATTAAAGCTAGGTCTTCGATGGCTTTATCGCCATGGAATTAATTAAAGCGTTATCAGCAGATCTCCTTCTCCAAGACTTGAGATTTGAGAGCACGTTTTACCCTCGTCTTACCAACTCCAACTGTCTAGTTAACCAGGGGAACAAAGCATAAATTAGACATATCTGATCATTCAGCATGTTGACCACTTGAACCCGTTCCTAACTTAATAACCAGAAAAGAACAAACTAGATTGGACATGAGGTTTGATTTTGTTATTTGTTTCCAAGAAATTGGATTCCTCAAATATGCTGGATTATTACCTTCCTAATAACTATTTATCCTTTATTTTGAAATCGGTAATGCTTCTATCAGGACGTCCGTCCGTCCGGACAGGACATACCCGCCTCACGCCCGCGCCTCGCTTGGTCGCACTGGACCCGCCTCGCGTAGCATGCGCCCCTGTGCCTCCCGTCTTGCGCCGTGCGCCCCTGCACCTCCGTCTCGCACGGTCGCATTGGACCTGCCGCGCGATCACGCCTCGTGTCGCGGATACCCGCCCATGCCTCACACCGTCCTCGCCTCGCGTAGCGTGCTGCTCGCGTCTCGTGCATCGCGACGTGCCCCGCCCGCGCCTCGCACTGCGTCCCCCACGCCCGCGTCAATCTTCATTGGGCGGGAGCAAGTAGATGAGCAAGTGTTGTAACCATATATTTTATGCGTTTCAGATGTATGTTGCATATGTTTCATTTGGATGTTGTAAAAGTTGATCTGGTGTTGTATATGTTGCAATGGTTATACACGTGTATTGCAAGTGTATGTTTCAAATGTTTTAGCCATTTCAAATGTATGTTGCAAGTGTGTCATCTAGATGTTGTAGTAGCTATACACGTGTCGGATATCTATACCCGGGTATCCAAGCCAAAGGATTAACGAGCGTCATGTCGGCTCATCCGATGGTTAAGGACGCAACTGCGACCTCGTCCGACACCGAGGACGAGGTTTCCACCTCATCCGGCCCCAGGGACCGGGCCACGCCTCGTCTGACTCCGAGGACAAGGTTTCCGCCTCGTCCGACCCCCAGGGGCTGGGCCACGCCTCGTTCGGTGTAACACCCCAGGTGTTTGCCACCAGTTAAGCAATGGGTTTGAGCAAAAACATGGTATATTAAGTGATGATGAAGATGTCAAGGTCAAACCTATAGAAACGAGCCCCAACCTAAACTTGGATATTGCACCCTTGCTCGCCTATAGACCCCTTTTCAAGATATATGCTTGGGTGGTGTGATTGGGATATCTTCGTGTGTCTCACATCAATACCCATCTATATTGGACACTCGAAAAGTTTCATGAAGTTTGGAATAAAAAATTCACATGAAATGATAAGTTATATCCTTGTTGGAATGATTTTACTAAGTGCTTGAATTGCACTATTAAGTGAATGAGAACATGATATGTCAACCAAACCTTGCAACCTTGCCAAAATGACTCTAGATGAACTCTACAACAAAAGTCATGAAAGGTTCATGTTGGTCAAATGCCAAGAAAATGCTCCAATGGATCAAAAAGGATAATTTAAGCTTCATCGCGATCCTACTTTGGTCAAAGTAGAACAGCAGGTTCTATACCAGTTTTGAGGTTGGACCTTAGATGAAAGTTGTAGTCCATATCATGTGGAACAAACTTTGTTTTTGGACTAAGAGCTAGATTAGCTTGGAAGTAAGTCAAATCAAGGTCACAAGATCGAATTTGCTGTTGTTTTCAGCACTTAGAAATATTCTAAGTCTGGAGTTTCGCTAAGCAACGACGTTGGCATTCCGCGTTCTCCGAAATTCGTTAAGCAATTTGAGTTGGTCCAAAAATAAAAGTTGAAGGTTATATTATGGAGAAGAGCATGCAAAAAGTTGCACTGAGTTTGACCGAGTTTTGACTTCCGAAAGTGAATTTCCGTGACCGTTATCAAGGCGCTGACACTGATAGTTTGTGGCCCAATTACCCGCTGTTGAAGAGCTCTAATGACCTTGGTCTCTAAATGAAAAATGTAGAGCAGCTCGCGGGCTTCAAACTTTGTTTTGGGCCCGAGGTCTAAATCGGCCCAGATCTGGCCCAACCCACGCTCCACGCCGGCCACTCCGTCGCCCGCCAAGTGTTTGCAGAAACGCCCCAGAGGACGCCGCGTGGCCTGTGCGTGGCGGCCATGCACGAGCAGCGTGCCCCCGCCGCTGCCGCGTGCCCTGCCTCTCTGTCGCGCCTCTACTCCTTCAACCGAGCGCGTGGGCTGCCCCATTCCCCGCTCGCCTCTCCACTCTCCTTCCCTCTCGCTCTGCTGCTGCGTGCGGCCACGTCCGCCATGGCCGTCGCCGCCGAAGCTCCATGGCCAGCCGTCCTTGGGCCACCGCAAGCCAAGCTGTGGGCTCCTAGTTGTGCGTACGCTCTCGCTGGTGCTCCACGCCGCTGCCAGCCACCGCCCGCCAACGCCGGCCAGCTCCTCCGCCGTCGCCGCCGGAGCTACGCGCCACGCACGCGCGTGGCCAGGCCATCGTGGGCCACCTCCGGCAAGTTCGAGTGCACACACGGGTGCGGGAGGACACTCTGGTGCTCACGCAATCCTCCCCCGCCGCCGACAAGCCTCCTCTGGCTGGCACCGCGAGCCTCCGACGGCCTCCTCTGCTTTGATCCACGTCAAGGACTTCACGCAAGAATTTGAAGAAAGGGAGGGTCCTATCTGCAATGTCATAGACTCATATGAATAGTACCGTAAGGACTGGTTTGTAATTATTTTGCAGGAACTTTGGAAATTCATAGTAAATCGTAGAAAATTCGTAAAATAGTAAATGAGGACCTTTTGGAATCCTTGTGAAATTGTCTATGCAGTGGATCTATAATATGATTTTTTTTAGTTTACATATTTTGCGGTAAAAATAGATTTGTGCAGTAAGGTTGTAATGCTAGTTGAATTTGTTATTTTTCATAACTATAGATCTAGGGCTCCAAATGAAGTGAAATTTTTGTGGCATGCTACCCATGTGATAGTTGATGTGTGGTAAAAATTTCATGAGTATTGGATGAAGTATGAGTGAGTTATTGGTTTATCTTGGTCTCACATGATTTCTTGCTTTAGCAACTTGTCTTTTTCATAGAGGTTGCTATACATATTCAAATGGAGTGAAATTTGTACAGTAGACTATTGATAGGATATGTGAGCCACTGTAATTTTTGTAGAATTGATTGTATACTTTTGGTATATGTTCATTAAGTCACCTTGTTATCTAAAATAAATTAAGAATGCATTAAAAGAATTTAATTGGTCATGGACACTAGGTTTTCTGGTGTTCTTTAGTCATGTGGGAAATGTTGGTAAAGTTGGTTTTGCCTAATTATGTGTTTGCAACATAAGTTAATATTTATTTTCTTGCAAATGTGGTTTTTGGAAAGATCTGGGAACTTAGCAAAGTTCTTCATGATAATGTGCTTTGTTGTGAAACTTGTTTATACAAAAGTTGTAGATAATTCATGTATCTAGATTCTATTAAAATTTGGTGTCATTTGGCCAAGTAGTTTAAGAGTTACAGCTGTTTAAAGTTGGGTTTCAGAAATGGCTGCTTTCTGTCAATTGTGGACCAGTTTATGTAAATGGATATATTTGACTTAGTTAACTTGAGAATCATGCTAAGATGATTAAATATGAATTGTAGAAAATTTCATAAGCTTTCCATAATGTCTTCTTTCAAGTCATTTGGATTTGTGTAACTCCAGTTATAGCTAAATCTTGTAGCTGCTGTTTGCATGTCCAGAAATTGGCAGATTCCAATTATAGTGCTTGCTTGTATATTGTTAAGTGTGACGTATGCCTTGAATGATGACTGAGTTAGAGCACTTGAGATCTTGGGAAACTTGTGTCATGCTTGGTGTTGTCGTCTTCTTTGCCATCTTAGCATGATAGATTGTGTGATGTTTAAGTTAAGCATCGCAAAGTACTTAAGTGTGTTAGTGTAAACTATGCTTGTCTTGCTTGCTAATTTGTGATGTGTCTCATGGTACTATTCTTCATATTTATGCACTTGCATATTGCATCTCATCTAGGTACGCTAGATGAACCACGTAAAGGACGTGATGTTGGAGCCAAA